AGGACAAGTCTCCTGCTTCACCAGCCAGGCAGGTTACCAGAGGCAATGAGCAACCACCCCCAACTGCCCAGGCACTCACCCTCTTCTCTGCCAAGTCCTTCTCCTTCTGAAGCTGCCGACTCCTCTCAATCCAGGCTGCAGTGTCATCCAGCCAGGGGTCATCTTCCCCCAGTGTCTTTATCTTTCTGAAAAAAGAACAAAGTGGCCTTCTGGGGAACCCCACTCCTGCTCCCCACACCTGACTCAAGAGCTCCTTGGCAGCCTCCTCAGGTTCTTCCCTTGCCCACCCTGGCTGGGACCTCCTCACCCCAGCTTTTGGTTCAGGAGGCGCTTTTCTTTGGCGGCTGCCAGCTTCTCTCGTAGCTCCTCTCGCTGTCTCAAGGCCATAGGATTGATGACATCAGCTGCCACGGGCTCCTCCTTGGTGCCCGTCTCTGGAAGGGGGGCCCAGACGTGAGGCTATGCCTGCCCATGGCTGGTGGGGAGAGGAGGGAGCCACTCACCCTGCCCCCTTCCAGCTCAGGGGGCCAGAAAGGGCCAGGAGAAGGGGAGTGAATCCTTCACCTCCCTCCTCCTACTTCCTTCCCGCACAGCATGATGGGATCCTCCACACCTTGTAAGCATCCTTGCCTCCCATCATGCATTAAGAAACAAATGAACCCAACACCTGCATAGCCCAGATCAGTTTGCAGCAACTACGCATGTATCTTGGTCTAGCTAATGCTGCCTCACAGCCAGAGCAAGCAACGATACTAGCCATATGAACTTAAAGAATAAGCCTATTCCCAGCCCTCCATTGTGACACCAATGAGAAGCCTGTGCCTATCCACAAGGATGTGTACACCCACACACAAACACACACAAGGCCACTAAATGGTGCTGAACCTGTGCCATAACCCCATCCTCCTCAAAGACCCCTTCAGATGGTCTTTCTCCTCCACCCAAATGCCCTCCCTCACCCCCATCCTCAGTCCCACACTCACCCTTCTTGACAGCATTGACTTCCAAGGGTTTCAGCCCCAACTTTGCCCGGAGTTTACTGAGGACAAGAGATACACATGTTAAGAGCTGCCAACAAAATAGGGACATAAGAGACATTTCTGGATAGAGAGTGAAAACAGGATGGAACTGAGAAGTCCTAAGGGTCCCCAAAGCAGAGACTGACCCAGGCAGCCAAGGACATTGGAAGGATGCTGGCCTCCAAATCAGGGAACACAGGCACTAGGCTTGGCCTGCCCCTAACCAGCAGAAGACCATCTTTCTCTTGGGTCTTAGGGTCTTTTCTGTAACTCAAATGGTTATACGTCATTTCCAATTCCAGTCAGAATGCCTTAGTGTGTGAATGGTCCCCCAGGAAACTGTCCCAGAAGCCCTCTATATCAGAAAATAAAAGTAGAAACATCAGGGAGACAGAACTTACTTGGTCTCCTCGATGCTAAGAGATGAGGCATCTCCTGAGCTACTTTTGGAGCTGGCAGCTGGAACAAGAAGTATAGTTCAGGAGCTGAACAAAGGGCCAACAAACCACATCTTTGGCTCGAGCTCTGCAGGGACCTCCCTCACCCATACCCGGGCCCTAGTGAGACGCTCGAAAACAGCAACCTTCCTCCATCTCAGTAGCTGCTTCCATCTCAGTCCCAATCTCTTGAGACCCCAACATAACCTTCCTTTCCTGCCCCAAAAGGTCCAACCTTTTTGCAGCCTTCACTCTGCCTCCTCTCCACTTCTGTACATTCTGTTTTCAGCCCACACTGCCCTCCTTGGCCTAACTCTGATAGACAAGATCCTATCCAAATGCAGAGACCAAATGCCACCTCCTTCTGAACTCCTATTTAATTATTGGTCAGAATGAACTGCTCTCTCCTGAACTCCACAGCTCATCACTCACTTCCAGGTCTGTTTCTCCCCACTGGTCAGGGACTGTGTTAGCAGCATGACTGTGTTCTCTGTGCAGTTCATCCAGTCAAGAAATACACTTATTGGTCCCTGTTTTGTGATGGATAGTGAGGATGCTGAGATAAAGTAGCTTTTCAGACTTCCTCTACTCATTTCTCAATCAGCAAGTAACTTCGGAACACAACATACAGACAGAGGCTAGACGCCACCAGATGGAACTTCCCCACCCAGGTGCTACCACCTGCTCATCCTTCCTGCGTCCCCACCCCATAACCTACCTCTTCCCCTATACCTCACCTGGACCCTGGATCCCAACCTTTCTAGGCTCTCTCCAAGGTCACCAGCCTCCTTATTTCTAAATCCAACGGATTCTTTTCAGCTCGAATTTCCTTTATTTTCTGTGGTGTGTGTGACACCATTGACTATTCTTTGCAACAGACCCCAGACCCCATGACACAAGATTCTATAGTTTCCTTTTCTGGATATTGTACCACCAAGCATTCTTATAGCCTCTTGCTCTACCTACTACGAAAATGCTGGCATTTTTAAGGTTCTACTGTCCACTCCTTACTCTCTTGCCAGGCTTCATTTGCCACCTGATTTACTTATGACTTCCAAATTGCTCTATCCAGCCCAAACCCTATCGGTTGCAATGCTCTCCACAACTGAACTCTCTCCCCTCAAAAGTCTTCTTCTCTCCCAAAGTCCTCAATTTCAGCAGACACAACCACCCACCCAGTTGCTCAAACCAAAATTTAAGGAGCCATCCTCATTTCCTTCTTACCCCCACCCAAGTGCTAAACTCTAATTCCTCCTCCAAAAACAGTTCTTCAATCTGTTCAGGTCTCTCCACCCTCCGCTGCCTCAGCACACGCCACTATCAATCCTCACGTGGCCTCCAGTCTTGACTATTTTTGAACCAGTTCTCAATCCAGGAACCTTTGCAAAATATGATCAACTCATTCCTCAGCTTAAATCCATGGCTCCCTACCACCCTCAAGACAAAATTCAAATTTCTGTAGGGCCCTTTGGGCTCCGACCGGTTTCCTATCTCTGCTATGAACCCTACCCGGTTTGCCCAATATCAGGTCTCTTCTTGGTTCTGCACAAGCTAGTACAACTTCATGGATTCATTCACTCAACAAATAAGGGCCTGTGAGGTGCCAATTTCGAGAAAACAGAAAACCTCTGCCCTCGCAGAGGTTAGTAGAGAGAGACAACTTTTAAACCCAAATAGGAAGACTCTTTAATAATTGCTGACGGAGACAGCGTCGGGGTGCCCGAGCCGCAGCGCTCGGCTCGCACCCAGGCCAGACCGCCCGCCCCGGGACACCCCGCCCCGCCCCCACAGGCCCCGCCCTCACCGGCCTCGTAGCCGTCATCGCGCTTCTCCCGCTTCACGCGCCGCTCTGAGGGCTCAGCCTGGCTGCGCTCCCGCCCGTGCGCGCCGCTGCGTGTCTCGGCTTCGGTCCCGCGCCGCCCGCCCCCGCGCTCGCCCCCACGCTCCCGACTCCGCTTCCGACGTTCGCCACCGCTGCTCCCGCCACCGCTGCTCCGGTGCTTGTGTTTTTTGTGCTCCCGGTGCCGCGGCGGCTGCTCGGTGGCGCCTCCGGTGCTGGCCGCCGCCGTCGTCCCGGCCGCCTCTTTCTCCCCACGGTGCTTCTTTGACGACCCCATGGTGGTACGTCCGCCCCGAGCCCGGCCGCCGCCGAGCCCCGACGACGCAAAATGGGAATACTTCCGGGTCGCCCGGCAGCCGCTGTCGTGTTGCCGGAAACCAAGAGTGGCTGCTTCCGCCGTTCGCCTCGGTGCCTGCCCCAAGGGCTCACGGGAAGGCCGGGATTGGAGCCCGGCGGCGTATTTGAGGAGCTGTTGGTGTGGGTGGCGGTCTTCAAAGTGCGTGCGTGCACCCGGTGTGGGGTTACAAGCCTCTGAACTATAAGCCCTTAAAGCCGGCATCTGGGAGCTGGAAGCGCCCCCCCCCCCCCGCCACCAGACGCTCCCTGCCTCACGGTTTTACCGGTTTTACCGTGCACCACGCCCGCCGCCCCAGTCGGCATCCTCCTGGTGGGCTCCACCCGCCCCCACCCCCTCGTCGTGGCTCCATCGGGTGTGGGACGCCGCAGCTTGTTTTGAGACCCAGCCCAGCCTCTGAGCCCCTACGCCCAATATCATCAAATGCTGTCTTTCCACCTTACTCGTACTGGGTTCTTTTTTCCTTGTTTTTTGTTTCTTTTTTTAAGATCTACTTACTTGAGAGAGCGCATAAGCGGGAGCGGCAAGGAGAGGGAGACAAGGGCCAGCTGAACCCTGAGATCCGGACCTGAGCCGAAACCAAGAGTGGGAGACGCCACCCAGGCACCCCCCTCACCTTGGATTGGGTTTTTTAATCTGTACTTTGAACCCCCAGAAACTGCAAAATTCCACACAGCACGACTGTGTATGTGAGCTCATTCCCACCCCCCTCCTTGGGGGCCCAAATTTGAAGTTACTTAGAAGTTAAAATCCCAAGGCGCATGGGTGGCTCAGTAGTTGAGCGTCTGCCTCTGGCTCAGGTCGTAATCCCGGACCCAGTTCCTGTCGGGCTCCCCAGAGGGAACCTGCTTCTCCCTTTGGCTACATCTCTGTCTGTCTCTGTGTGTCTCATGAATAAACAAAGTCTTTTAAAAAGTAAAATCGCAATTCACATAATTCCTCCTCTGACCCGCAACCCCCAGTTGCTGGGACTGGTGGGCCCTGTGCAAACCACTTGTTACAGTGTAAGATACGTACCCCTTTAAGGATCCAAACCTCCTCCCCTCCCACCCTGAGTTCTCAAAGGCAGAGGCCATTAGATCCTGCTCCCTCTTGAATTCCTAGGACCCAGCATAAATGTTGGAAATGGGAGTGGAGGAGTCACAGCTGTTGCTCTGTGAGATGATCCACTCAGGAGCAGAAGCAGAGCTGTGTGTGCTGGTGGGGGCAGCTCCACAACCAAAGCTCCTGGGTGATGGGGCAAGCTAAGCCTGCTGCTTCCTGCTACGTCCTACTCCCAATCTGCAGCCTCTTCCCAGCACCACCAGAAATTACACGTTATATTTCCCATAAAGCATTTAATTGTTATCTTAGGGGCTAGACTCTTGACTTGGGCTTGGAGTAGAGTGCCTGTTGGAGTGCCTTCTGGTGGGTTCTGTCTTTGGGAGGCTCTCAGAAGAGTGCTCCATTCTCACCTCCATTGACCTGTGGCTCCTTAAAGAAGAAGACACAGATAGAGACCATGGGCTCTAGTTCCCCACCCCCAGGCCCAAGGAGACCTGGGCTTTAGGGGTGGAAAGGCCATTATTGGCAATAGGGGTTCAGATCTGGCTTCTATGCTGTGAGACTCTGAGCAAGTGATTTCCCCTTCTCAAGCCTCAGTTTACTTATGAATAAGCTTTATAAACCTTGCTGTGCACCAGGTTGTCCTAAAGTATAAGGGACAGTATGCAGGGGGTGATTTGTGTGGCACTACCCTGTAACAGGGGCTTGGTGTGTGGCCACTCAGTTGGCCACAGATTCCTACACTGGCTCTGCAGTTTATTTGCTCCTGTGTCTTGGGGTAAGACATTGCCCCCAGGTCCTTAGTTTCTTTATTGGGATCTGGAGAACATAACCTGGGTCCTGCCCTCCTCGGGTGACACGGAGGGCGGGGTCTGGGTGAGGCCTTATTGACTGCTAGAGCTAGGCAGAGTCCTTCAGGCTGAGACAGTGGACCAGGCCAGGGCTGAAGCTTAGATTCAGGGCAGGTCAACATGGTTGCTCACAAGTTTTCTCAGTTTTTCCCTGGATGCTGAGCCCAGGAAGACAGGTGGGGGAGAGGCTGTAGGGCCCAGGACTGGCAGTGGCACCCCTTCTTCCAATAGCTGGGCAGAGCCAGTTCTCTGGCTAGCTAGATGGCCTCACCTGGATTTCCTGGAGGTGCCCTCTGTCTCCCCCTTTCCTGCCTCAGCCAGCAGCTGCTCCTCATCCAGTCCCAGTGCTGACAGCACTTGGGAGAAGCGCCGGGTCACCGTGAGCCGGGCATTGACCTGAGGAGAGATAAGGGTTCCTACTCTGCACCAAGGCTGCTGAGGACAAATAGCATTGTGATTACTGAAAGGTCCCAGGGCTCCCAGGTGGGTGTGGCCCAGGGTCCTATCTAAAGGGCCCACTCTCCCTACCCACTCATCCAATGAAAAGCACCGTTCTCAGTGAGGTGGCATGTCTTCCAGGTGCTAGCCCTCACCTGCATGGCCTGCTGGAACAGGTAGGGCCGGGCCTGTACCCTGTGCTGGATGTCCTGTAGCTCTGCCTGATACTGAGCAAAGCGCTGTCGCTCCTGGCGCCTGCAGGGAGATGGGCCTTTGGGCAGCTAACCATGAACACAACCTATCCCCACTCTTGAGTCCATTCATTCTCACTAAGGACTTGACATCCTCCCCACCCTTACCTTGCAAAGCCATTTCATTCCCATCTCCGCCCTGGATTCCTCCTGAGGTCAATGGGGTAGAAATTATTTGCTCCATTTTACCCATGATGAGCCTGAGGCCCAGGAGGGTTGAGGGACTTGTCCAAGGTCACACAGCTGGGGAGTAGAGACTGAGACCAAGTCTGCAGGCTGTGCAGCCAGGGCTCATCTAGCCTCCCAGCCACACTCACAGGGCGGGGGCGGGGCAGCACTGCCTTCGGAGCAACTGGGCATCTGCTTGCACAGCCTCTTCCCCCTGCGTTTACACCCCTGCACCCTCTCACGCTGCATCTGTGAGGAAGAAGCAGTGGCTATTGACCGTGGGTTTGGGTAAGGCCCCACTCTGGGCTCCGGGCTCAGTTTTCTCTGCACTATGGCAGGGATTGGACAAAGTTGCTACCATTCTCTGGGGTTCTTATAAGCACACAACTTAGAACACGGGACAGAGGAACAAAAGAATGATATTGCAAATGAAAGAACACATCCCAAAAAAGATCAAGGTTCCACAGGGGAAGCACACATCCGTTTACAAAAAATTGGTTTGCACATTTGTCTGAAATGTGCCTGCTTATCAAGCTGAATATCCAGGCAGCAAGAGGGGCCCTCTGGCAGGAATCCTGTGAAGGACCAGGAATCCTGTGAAGCATGTAAGCGAGGTCTTTGGGTGTGCCAGCAGCACCCATACACAGGAGCGGAGAAACAGACAAGACTCATGTTGGGACCTCTAACAAGTGTATAGGGCCCCTGAAAAACACTGCCTTGCCCCACCAGGGCCATTGGTGAAAAAGAGATGAATTTGAAAACCCATGGCCAGGAACAGAAGTCATTGCAAAATGGAGTCTTCAGCATTCAAGAGATAATTTCAGCAGTTACAAAGGTGGGGGTGGGAAGTGAGCTGGCATTCAGTCTGTCTCTCCTATGATGTCATGCATATTTTTCCCTTTTTGATTCTTGTTAGAATTGAGAGGAAGTCCATGTCTTGGAGCCCCAAGCAGAAAGGAAGTTGGAGAGTGGATGTCAGCCCTATCCAACATCTGGGAAGGAAAGGAAGGCCTTCCTCCCACAGGGCGACCTCTCTTGAGCCCACACCTCTTGTACAGGCCAGAGCCTTTGAGGAACAGAGAGAGCAAAAGTCACAGGTTATAAGGACTGAGAGACCCCCATGGAAAATACCTGCTCTCTAGTAGAAAATACAAAAGATGTGTGTGAAACACTCTTCTCATTCACATCTGTCCCTTGGAGTTTGAACCCTAGGCTTCCTGCCTCATTGAAAAAAATAAACACACAAACAATGAACTTGATGTTTCGCAAGGAGAAGGCATCTCCTTGATCACTGGCCAAGGATTCTTTTAAAACACCGTTGCCTTCTTAGATCCCTAGTTTTCTCATCTTCAAAATTGGAATAATAAGACTGAGCCTCCAAGAGTAGATGACCAGAACCCTGCTGAGTCCCTGGTGGCCCCACTGCAGAGCAGAGACCTCATCCCTGACCTAGCTCCTCAGGATGAAAGGAGATGAGGTGTGGAAAGGGCTGCCCTGCTGCCAGCTGCACCCTGTAGGTGCTCAATGTCCATGGCACTGGTGACCATATTTATTTGTATTATCTGTTTCACTGGATAGGGCATTCGGGGGAAGATCCCAGTGCCCTTTATCTACAGATTAGGTATTCAAGCACTAAGAAATGGGCTAGCAGGTTTGGCTAAGTGGCTTCCCAAGTTGAAATCCTAGTTTTGCCCCTCACTTGTGACCCTTGGCAAATTAATTGAGCTCTGTGAGCTCGTTTCCTCCTCTGTTGAATTATGGGACTGATAATAATGCCCATTTAAGGGTCTGTTATGAGTCTAAAAAAGATTTGCTTTTAAAGACACATTTGTCTATTTCTTCTTAATGGTCAACATATAGGAAGAGAATAAAATAAATGACTCTTCACCTGAAGCAAACAACGGTTGTCCCCAGGAGTGAGATCATAGGCACTGTTTATGTGCTATGTGAACTATTTTGGTTACATCTGCATTTTTATAATAAGCATGCCTAGCTTTTGAAATCAGAAAAAAAAATTTGAACATGTGGTAATGCATATAGAACATTCTGTGAGCTTGACAGCTGCAGGATTGTTATATTAACTAGGTGACCTTGGCTCAGCCCCTCCTCCTTGCGTGCCTCAGCGTCTTCATCTGTAAAGTGTGGCCAAATGGCCTGGCCCACCAGCCAGGGCTGGAGGATGGTTGTGGAGACTCATCCCTGGAGGGATATGAGGACTGTGTCTCCTGTGTCTTTCTTCTGGCATCTTGCACTGCCTTCCCTGACCTCTCCCCACCAGGGCCTCCCCAGCCTGGCTTCCTACCTCAGCTCCTCCAGCCTGCGGTGGGTGGTCCCTGATCCCCGGTTCCCTTTGGGTGCATAGGCCGCCAGGCAGCGAGCCACCTGCTGCTGTACCCGATGCTCCCGGGCCCTCCGCAGCTCGGCCTGCTGCCGCTCCTCCTCCTGCTGCCGCTCCCAGGCCTGCAGCAAGCTTCTTCAATAGGGAGAGGGAAAGAAGAGGATGGGAGAAGTCTGGGGGGAGCAGCAGTCTCATAGAGGCCAGGGGCAGGGAGAGGAGTATGAGGGCCTGCGGGAGGGATTGCAAAAGCCCAGAGAACCACAGGTCTGGGGAGTGGGTTTGTCATGGAAGTCTGACATGATGAGGGCTACATCTGGGGCTCGGCCCACAGGCCCACCTCAAGGCCTTTCCCTACCTTTCCTGGAAGCCTCCTCCCACTCCAGCCAGCTGTGTGCCCCAACTCTGAACACCCTCGGTCCTGTGGGGCTTGGTACACCTGTGATCTCACCCAGATTGCTCACTTCCCATTGCAAAGCAGCTCTCCTTGAGGACAGGGGTCAGACCTTGTTCTCTCTGACCCCCATCTCTGGTAGGAACTAGGTTGATGCCTTTTGGTTTGAGGTACAGATATATGAATGGAATGGATGGGAAACAGAAACAAAGTAGTGATGGGATCAGTGGATGGATAAAAGCGTGGATGAATGGTGTGGGTGGTTGAGTAGACAACTCTTAGCTCCACCTGGAACATTCTTTCCCTAGCTCTGATGGCCAGTTCCTTGTTAATTAGATCCTTGCTCAAATATCAGAGAGAGAGAGAGAGAGAGAGAGAGAGAGAGAGAGAGAGACTCCCTTACCACCCCTTCTACCCCCCAGGTATTTTCCATTTCTAGCTGTACATTTTGTTCATTTCTTTATTAATTATCCTTCATCCCAAGTAGAGGGTAAGCCTCATGAGAGCAGGGTTCCTTATCTCTTCTCTTCACTACCAGTGGATTCCCCAGCATCTAAAACAGTGCTTAACATAAATAGAGGGGATCCCTGGGTGGCGCAGCGGTTTGGCGCCTGCCTTTGGCCCAGGGCGCGATCCTGGAGATCCGGGATCGAATCCCATATCAGGCTCCCGGTGCATGGAGCCTGCTTCTCCCTCTGCCTGTGTCTCTCTCTCTCTCTCTCTCTCTCTCTCTCTCTCTCTCTCCGTGACTATCATAAATAAATAAATGAAAATTAAAAAAAAGGGGATCCCTGGGTGGCGCAGCGGTTTGGCGCCTGCCTTTGGCCCAGGACGCAATCCTGGAGACCTGGGATCGAGTCCCATGTCGGGCTCTCTGCATGGAGCCTGCTTCTCCCTCTGCCTATGTCTCTGCCTCTCTCTCTCTCTCTGTGTAACTATCATGAATAAATAAATAAAATCTTTTAAAAAAATTAAAAAAAACATATCCTTGTTTAAAAAAAAACATAAATAGAAACTCAGTGTTGCTGAATTCATGCATAGTTCAATCATGGTCAGACCAATAAACTTGTTTACTCAGCACATATTTGTTGAGCACCAACTAGATGCCATGTCCCGTGTAGGGCAGCAAGGAGGCCATGACCAATAAAATCTGGCACCTGTCTTAGGGATCTCTAAGTCTGCACCCAGGGATAGTCAGGCAGCCCAGCCTGCCAATGCAATGCCATGTGGCAAGAGCTATGGCAGAGGCAAGCAGAGGGGAGAGCTTCCCAGAGGGCGCCTACCTCGGAAGTTTAAGGATACATTGAGGGCAACCCCGGTGGCTCAGCAGTTTGAGCGCTGCCTTGGGCCCAGGGCCTGACCCTGGAGACCCGGGATCGAGTCCCACATCGGGCTCCCTGCATGGAGCCTGCTTCTCCCTCTGCCTGTGTCTCTGCCTCTCTCTCTGTGGCTCTCATGAATAAATAAAATCTTTAAAAAAATAAATAAATAAAGATACATTGAGTTAGCTGAGTGAATGAGGGAGAATGGCCAGTCCGGGAGATGAGGAAGGGAGAGCATGGCACATTCTAGCTATTCTCACCGGCGGGTGTGGGAGACAGGAGCCTCCTTACCAAGACACCTGGGCTTTGTTCCAAGTGCACTGAGAAGCGTGGGAAGCAAGCCAGGGATGACAGAGTCAGAATTGAGGGGTGCTATTGGAATGTTGAAATGGATTCTTACCTGCCACCTCTAACCAATTACCAAGACCTGCTGAGCCAGCCCCCAAATATCTCTTTAATGGATTCCCTTCTCTCTATTCACAGGGCCAGCTGGTTCAGGCCCTTATCATCCTTCACCTAGACAATGCAACAGTGCCCCTTCCCAGGATTCCCCTCTGCTCTCATTGTCTTTTGTTCAAGCCCCAAGCATAGCAGTTGTCTGACTCTACTGCCTTCATTGTTGTCTTGTCCATCTGCCTCCTTTCCCAGCAGACCTTGACTTTCTTAGGGCTGGGGCCACGTCTTTTTATCTTTATATCCTAAGGACCCAAGAGTAGATATTCAACATGTGTTGCCTTTGATCACTTAGTTAATCAATTAATGGGTGGATAGAGGTTGGAAAATAAATGAAAAGTGGCTTGTGTCAATAGACACCTGGCCAAGTAGACAGAGATGGATAGATGGGTGGGTATATGAATGGGTAGGTGGATGGATGGATGGATGGATGGGTGGGTGGGTGGGTGGGTAGATGAGTGGGTGGATAGATGCATCGATCTGTAGAAGATTGGATGACCAAAAGATTAGAGAATGGATAAATGAATTAATGAATGAGAGGATGAATGATTCAGTGTCTCTGGAGAACTGGCTCCTTCTCTACTCCCAGCCCTTTCTTCCCATCCTCCTTTTTCTTTTACCTTACCTGGTGGCCTCCTGTCGTTTGTGGAAGGTACGGTTAGGGAAGTTGGCAAACAGGAAAGTCTCTTCATCTCCCAAGGCATAGGCCTTCCCACTCCGATTGGAGGCCTGGACAGCAGCCCCCAAAGCCTTCCAGGACTGCTTTTGAGGGCCTATCCAGAGTGGGACTAGTCAGAGAATAGCCTCCCTCCCAGCCCACTGGACAATCCCGCCCAGCACTTGGAGCACAGTATAACCCTGTCTGAACTCCTGGTCCAGGTTGCTGGTTCCCCTAACTCTCTCCCCACCTTGTAGTTTCCTGGGGAACCCAGACATTGAAGCCCACACTCACCACAGTCCAACTCTTGCTGTAACTGCCTCTGCAGCTTCTCCAGGTCCCATGGCCCCTCCAGCTCCTTGGCCCTTGACTTCCTCCTCTGTGGTCTTCTGAGGTTGGAGCTGGAGCTGCTCCCTTTGCACTGCAGGTCATTTTCATCGGAGGCTGCCTCGCAAAAATTCTGCCCCTTTCTCTGAGAACCAGCTCTCCTTCTATGGAGGGTCCTATGCTTCCCCTCCTTGGCCTGCTCTGTCACCTCTACAAACTGTTCCTCTTCTAATATCAACCCCCTGCTGAAGAGTTGGGGCAGCTCCCCAGGGCTCATACCCCTCTCTATATCCTCAGAACCCAGGGCTTCCAGCTCGGTGCCTTCCTCAGACTCAGATCCTGATCCTGACCTCCTCCCATGTGGCTGGAGGTCATACTCACTGGGTGCCTCCAGTTCTTGGCTCTCCCCTTTGCCAGAACAGCCGGGGATGCAACCCCAGGCCCTGAGCTGCTGGCTTCTCTCCAGGTTTGGCCCCTCTGTTTTCCAGCAGAAGCCATGGGGCTCTGGGAGGGTGGTTGTGGACTTGTGCCTGGCCTTATACTGGGGGACTGCTCGGGGCAAGGACAGAGCTTGGTGGCCTGGGGTGGAGGTCGAGGAGAAGCTGGGCTGATGCAGAGCCTGGCCATTGGTGGTGAAGCTCTCCCAGGCCCACTGGAAGGGGAAGGAGGGTTTCCGAGGAGGAGAGGGGATAAGACTGAGGAAGGAGAGGACAGGGAGCAAGGGTCAAGGTCACGGCGCCGGCCCCCAGTGGGGCCTGCCAGCCAGTATCCCCCCAGCCTATTGCACAGTGGCTTACTCTTCAGCTTCAGCAGAGCCACGGTCTTTCTTATTCCGAGCCTTGGGCCTCCGGTCCTTCTTTGTCATCTGCCCTGTGCTCCGAGACCTCGGCTGCTGGCCCAGAATCACATCATCGCCACTCCCAAGCCTCCCCTAGGTGAAGACAGGAGAGGAGGCCTAGCTGCAAGCAGCCTCCTGGAGCATCCCACACCTCCTCCAGGGGACCCTCCTCTTCTCTGTACCATGGCTGGCCTGCTGGGCTCTTGTTATTGCTAAAACTGACTGATCACCACCTCAATTTTTAATATTGAACAATGCTGCTGAGTACCTGCTGGATGCTCAGGATTTTCATGCATCAACTCATTTAACTTTCCCAAGGACCTATATCCCACTGTTAACCCATGAGATCTTTTTTTTATGGTGAAAAAAATTTATATTTAGATTTATAGCCGGCTGGACTCAGTTTAGATGATCCCAATTTTGTTGGCAACATCCAAAGCATGATAGGAGCCAGTTGAACATATGCTTTCTCCTCTCCATCAGGCCTGATTAAGGTGTTGACCTTGGCCACATCAATGTCATAGAGCTTCTTCACAGGCTGTTTGATCTGGTGCTAATTGGCCTTGACATCCACAATGAACACAAGTGTGTTGTTGTCTTCTATTTTCTTCACAGATGACTCAGTAGTCAGGGGGAACTTGATGATGGCATGGTGATCAAGCTTGTTTCTCCTGGGGGCGCTCTTTCCAGGTTATTTGGGCTGCCTTCAGAGATACAGGGTCTTGGGTGGTCGGAATGTAGATGACATACGGATCTTCTTTTTCTGTGTGTGACTGTGCACATCTTTCAGCACCACTTTCTTAGCTTTCAAAGCGTTTGTTTTGGCTTCGGCTTTGGGAGGGGCAGGGGCTTCCTTCTTTGCTTTCAGGGCCATCTTCGTGAAAGGGCCCAATGAGATCTCATCTCATCCCAGATAAGAACACTGAGACTCAGAGAGGTGACATCACTTGACTAAGGATACCTAGCCAGTAAGTGGAGTCAGGATCTGAACATGCAGAGTCTGTCTCGAGAGCCCAGATTTGTCACCATGGTACGGTGCTGCCTCCATGTCCCAGATAGCTCTTTTGAATGCTCCATGGGGCCCTGGACTTGCTAAGTCAAGGTAGAGGAAGCTTATTATCTTTCCTGAAACCCTCCTCCTCCTTCTCCTGCAGTTGCCCTAGATGGCTCTCCTGGAAGCCTGGGAGTCATCCCTGGGTGTCTTCCTCATCCTCGCCTTGGACCCTTTAGGCCTCCCTGTGGTCCCTGCCTGCCTTGGGCCTTCTTGTCTCTCGCCAGGCCTCAGCTCCAGTTTCATGGCTTCTCCAGTGCCATCCTGAGCCCTGGCCTACACTGGACCCCAGGCAGCCAGGCTGCCTCCAGGCAGTTGGAAGTCCCCCCACAGGGCCTCCCTCACCTGCTCAGCTTGGGGGATGTCTGACAGGAACTTGAGCAGCCCTATGGTCATCCCAGGAGCCTGGGATGTCCTGCCCTGGTCTCCCTGAAGCCGCATGTCCTGCCCTGGTCTCCCTGAAGTAGTCCTGCTCGCCAGTTGGTGGGTGTTTCGCATATTGGTGTCCTGCCCGGACCCCCACCCCCATCTGCCAGCCTTGGAACTGCCCACCCCACCAACTCTATGGCAACCAGTTCTCAGTCAGCCTCAAGGGCTCTGGCAAAAAGCAGGCCAGGGAGGGTCAGCCAGGGTATGTGAGGTCAACTTCCTTCGGGGGTGGGGGGTAAAGTTCAGGATGATGCTGAGAAAAAGTCCAGGCCTGAGAGTCTTGAGGCCCAGGGCCAAGCCTACCTCTGCAGGACTCTTCGTTGACCTGGTATGAGTCCCCTGTCCTCACTCAGCCTGTGTCTCCCCCTCTATCTGTACAAGGGATCTCAAGACTTGACCATTTGGAAGGGTGCTCACACCCTCGGTGCCTGAGGGGGTCCCTCTCCCTCCACCTGCCTCCTGGGCTGCCCCTAGTACTCCAGCCCCAACTGAGGCCTTGCAAAAGCCAAGCTGAGCTCTCACAATAAGATCTTGTTCAAACCATTTGGCCTCCCAGGTCCAGACAGGGCAAGAAAAGCCAGTTGAACACCATGCCCAGGAGGGAAGCAGCAGGCAACCAGGACCCAGAGGAGGCTCTGGAGGAAGTCAGAGCATTTAAATCTCATCCCAAACTTCTAAGCGTCACCAAAATGCCTTGCCATGGTAAATCCCCATGGTATGCCTAGGACTGACCACTACCACCAGCAGCATAAGGATGTGGTGCCAAACTGAGCCCTAGAGACCCAGCGGCAGGGTTGGAGGCCTGGCTTGGCTGCTCACCAGCTCTGTGACCTTGGGCAAGTCACCTCTCCCCTCTGCCAAACTGGAAAGCATAGACCCATTCCATAGGTTAATTACAAAGATTAAATGAAATCATGAAGGCAGCATGCTCGGTAATGGTTCATTATCACTACTGCTAACAATGGCAGACTATTATTGGGGGGTAGCAGCACATGGTGGTTAAGAGAACACAGGAAGCACTGGGGTTCAGATCCAGCTCCCCTTGTGCCTCTGTGTCCTCTTGGGCATCACAGGGCTGGTTATGATGGCATCTTCCTCCTGGGGTCACAGTGAGACTTAAATCAGTTACTAGAGACAGGTACACCCAGAACATTCCCATGGCTCATCCTAACTTTTGTGGAAGAGCTGTTGCTCCTTAGCCAACCATGCGGCCCCAGTGAGACCAGTAAAGGAAGCAGAGTCCAGCAGATGCCCTACAGGCATGGTTTTCCTTGAGCTTTGTTTCTGTGGCCTCATATCTGCTCTCAGACTCCATCCCGGCAACACCTTTACAATGAGCTCACCCAGTGGAACAGCCTAATTAATGCTCCAGGTGAAGATTTCTTGTCCCTAAAATAGGCAAATTCTGCTCTTTCTGGTGGGTTGCCATGACCACCCCACTGCCTCCTCTATCAGATGTCCTGTGGAAGTACCCAGGTAGGCTGCTCCATTTCCAGCCCCCAGCCCCAATGATTTCCTGGACAAACTCTGGGCCACTTCCTTCCTTGGCAGAGGGCAGGTCTGGGTCGCTCAGGTTGGTATTTTTATGAGGTGCGTGCAGACCTCTTTTTTTACCTAGCCACTCTCACTTCTTAAGGGAGCTCATCCTGTCTGACACAAGCCATCCTTCACCTTCCACCTCCCCCCAAGTTCATATATGTCAGCCCTGCCTTCTCCCACAAAGTCCAGACTCCTATCCATCAGCCGTTTGACTCTCTACATGGAAGATAGGTAAGCATCTTGACTTGGCACATTGAAAGTAAGACTCCCCATCTCAGTCAAGGTCACATCCATCCTTCCTGTTGCTCAGAGCAAAGCCCCAGCAGCATCCTGGATTCCTCTCTCTCATACTCCACAATCCACGCAAGCAAACCTACTGGTGCCACCTTCAGAATTCATGCAGAGGGGCGCCTGGGTAGGTCAGCCGGTAGGGCATCTGCCTTCGGCTCGGGTCTTGATCCCAGGGTCCTGGGGTCAAGCCCCACATTTGGCTCCCTGCTCACTGGAGAGCCTGCTTCTTCCTTTCCCTCTGCCTGCCACTCCCCTTAATTGTGCTCTCTATCTCAAAGAAATAAATAAAATCTTAAAAAAAATTTCATGCAGAATCCAGCCACTTCTCCCCATCTCCTTCGTGAACACGCTCTCCCAAACCACCACTCTCTCGTCTGAATCATTGCAATGGCCCCTCCACCTGGCTTCTGCTCTTGCCTAATTCTATTCTGTACTCAGTAGCCAGAATGATCCTGTTAAGACCAGAGCCAGCCATGCCTTTGTTCACAATTCTCAAATGGATCCCATCTCTCACAGAGTAAAAGCCCAAGTCTCTACCATAGCCTCCTTGGTCCTGCTTGATCTGTCTGTCCCATCTCTTTGCAGGTGTCATCCCTGCCCCCATCACTCACTCTGATCCAACCACCCCAGTCAATCCCACCTCAGGGCCTTTGCACTTGCTGCTGCTGCTTGAAATGCTCTGTCTCCAGAATCCCTATGGCTCACTCTCCCACTTCCTTCAGGCTTCTGCTAAAATGTCCCTTGACAAAGACTACCTACGTGGCACTGTGCTCTTACTCTACTTCACTGACTACACTTCATATATATTCGTTTATTGCCTGCCCAAGGATGTGTCTCCAGCAATCAGCCCCCTCTGTTCCCAGCAACTTTTCACTCTCTTCAGAATCACTTCCATCAACACAAATGTGCTATCATATCCTTCCTGACCTCACCTCTCCTTCCCCAGTACTGCCCCTTTTCCTTGTTCCCCTTTGTAGCAAAACCCCCTGAAAGAGTTGATCTGATTTGCCAAGATCAATCTCCTCCTGTTCTCTCTTCAACCCGCTCCCATCAGGCTGTCACCCCCACTACCCACTGAACCTGCTCCTGCCTTGATCCCCAGCTGCTGGCCCTGTTGCTAACCCAAGGTGCCCTGGATCCTCTGGCCACTTCCCGGCTCCTTTGCTCACTCCTCCTCCCATCCAGGAGCAGGCTCAGCCTGCAGTCCTCTGAGTCCACACATTCACGCTCCCAGTGGTCTCATCCAGGCTCCTCTTTGAAAATACCATCTATCTGCAAATGAGACTCAAAGTTATCAGTGCTCCTGGTGTCTCCCTCAGACTTGGAATTCTATCCCTCTCTCCCAGATATCAAATTTCCACTCCACTCCTCTCCCCGGATGTCTTATAGGCATCAAGTTGAGCCCTCTGTCTCCCCCCACAGACCTTCCCATCTTAGACAAGTGGTTATCTATCCTCCCAGTATCTCGGGCCAAACCCTGGACTCTTCTTTTTCTTCCCCATCCTAACTGGGAATTAATCCTCAACGTCCAAGTGTATTCAGAATTGGAACACTTCCCACCACCTGAGTTCACACCACTTTCAACACTTATCTAAATTTACCATTTCAACCATTTTTAAGTGTCCCATTCAGTGGCCGCCTTTTTTTTTTAAGATTTTATTTATTTATGATAGAGAGAGAGAGAGAGAGAGAGAGAGGCAGAGACACAGGCAGAGGGAGGAGCAGGCTCCATGCAAGGAGTCTGATGTGGGACTAGATCCTGGGACTCCAGGATCACTCCCTGGGCAGAAGGCAGGTGCTTAAACCACTGAGCCACCCAGGCTGTCCCCAGTGGCTGCCGTCATCCTCCTCCTCCTCCTCCTCCTCCTCCTCCTCCTCCTCCTCCTCCTCCTCCTCCTTCTTCTTCTTCTTCTTCTTCTTCTTCTTCTTTTCTTCTTCTTCTTCTTTTCTTCTTTCTTCTTTCTTCTTTTTCTTCTCCTTCTCCTTCTCCTCCTCCTCCTCCTTCTCCTCCTTCTCCTTCCTCTTTTTAACTCATGAGAGACACACAGAGAGACAGATGCAGAGACACAGGCAGAGGGAGAAACAGACTTCTCACAGGGAGCCCAATGCAGGACTCAATCCCAGGGCCCTGAGATCATGACCTGAGCTGAAGGCAGATGCTCAACTGCTGAGCCACCCAGGCGTCCCTAATCGCATTATTCTAGTTACAAAATGTTGTGCCACCCTCACTGCCATCAGTCTCCAGAACAGTTTTTATCATCCGTAACTCAAAGTCTAACGCATTAAATAGTAACTCCCCATCTCCGCAGTCTCTGGCCACCACCACTCCATTTTCTCTCTGTCTTTGACTATTCTAGGGACCTCATATGAGTGGAATCATGTAATATTTGTTATTTTGTAACTGGCTTGTTTCACTTAGTATAAAGTCCTCCAGATTCACCCACGTTGTAGCCTATGTCAGAACTTCCTTCTGTTTTAAGGCCAAATAATATTCCTTTAATGTATTTACCACATTTCATTTATCCATTCATCTGTTGATGGGCATTTGGGTTGTTTCTAGCTTTCAGCTACAATGAACATTGCTGCTGTGATTGTAGATGTACAGACAATCTGTTCAGGTGTCTGCTTTCCATTCTCTTGGGTGTGTCCTCAGAAGCTGAAGTGCTGGACTACATGGTAATTCTACGTTTACTTTTTACAAAGATCTTATTTATTTATTCATGAGAGACACATAGAGAGAGGTAAAGACAGAGGGAGAAGCAAGCTTCTCACAGGGAGCTCGATGTGGGACTCGATCCTCGGACCCGGATCATTCCCTGAGCCAAAGGCAGATGCTCAACCACTGAGCCACACAGGCGTCCCTCTGTTTAATTTTTTGAGGCATCATCATACTGTTTTCTATAGCCGATCACACCATTTCACATTCACACCAGCAGCACACAAGAGTACCAACTTTTCTATATCCTTGCCAACACTTGTTATGTTCTGTTTTTCAGGTGGGGTTTTTCTGGTGGATTTTTGTTTGCTTATTCTTTGTTGATAGCAGCCTCCTTGTAGATGTGACCTGCAATGGTTTTGAAAACTTAAATCCAGGGCACCTGGGTAGCTCAGTAGTAGAGCATCTGCCTTTGGCTTAGATCATGATCCCAGAGTCCTGGAATTAAGTCCTGCATCCAGCTCCCTGCAGGGAGCCTGCTTCTCCCTCTGCGGGTGTCTCTACCTCTCTCTCTGTGTCTCTCATGAATAAATAAGAAAATAACATCTTAAAAAAAAAAAGGAAGAAAGAAAACTCAAATCCAAAGTCTTGCAATGGCCTATGGGGCCTATGTGACCCTTCATCCTCAGCTGCTTACCACGCCTCCCGTCTTTGCTTCTAGCTGTTCTATGGGATGAATCAGACATGGTCTCACCTCTGACCTGGCCCTTCCCTCTGGATGCTGTCCCCCCAGATAATTGTGTGGCTCAGTCCTTCACTTTTTTCCAAGGTAGTGCTCAAATGTCAACCTATCAGAGACCCCACTCTAACCACACAATTTAGACCTGCAACCTACACCATAACCACGCACTCAACCCCTCTTGCTCTGCTTTTCCCCATTGCACTAGTCTCTTTCTCACCTTACCCTCCTACTATGGACCGCCAGCCCACCAGCCCCAGATTCAGACTTTGATATTCTAACCCTCAGTACCTGATCATCTGACTTTATTTGGGAATAGGGCACTTAAAGAAGTGATCAAGGTAAAATGAGGTCCTACGGGTAGCCTTCACTCAACACGAAGAGGAGATCAGGACACAGACACACAGAGGGAAGCCCACATGAGGACACCAGAAGACAATGGCCACATGCTGGCCAAGGAGAGAGGCCTGAGAAGAAGTCCAACCTGCCAATATATTGATCTTAGACTTCTGACCTCCAGATATGTGAGAAAATAAATTCCCATTGGTTAAATTTCTATCATCTGTAGTACTTATTATGGCAGCTCTACCACACGAATACACCTTCAATTGAATCCACATATGTGTTCTGCTTTACTCTCTGTCATTCCCAGGTAACTCTCAGATCCCTAAGAGCAGAGTCTTTATTTCTGTTCACAGCTGTGTCCTCAGCCCCTAGCACAGAGCCCCCACACAGTGAACCCTCAATAACGAGTTTGTGAGCAAACAGATAAAGAGAAAATACACTGCAGAGTGCTATCATCTCAGGCAGAAACCTAGTGGGAATAATTTACACATGTTTTCAGATTGTTGCCTCTCACGCACCTTCCTTTGGCTTCCAGATTAGAACCCAGTAGCTGGTGGATAAGGTGATGTGAATGCAACATAATCTTACAGTAACTGATGAGCACATACACCAGCATTTTTTTATTTTAAGTTTTATTTATTTATTTTTATGTAATCACTATACCCAGTGTGGGGCTCGAACTCATAACCTTGAGATCAAGAGTTGCTTGCCTTCCTGATTGAGCCAGCCAGGAGCCCCAAACATTTCCCTTACTTTATTTTTTATTTTGTTTTGTTCTATATATTTTTAAAGTAGGCTCTATGCCCAATGTGGAGCCCAAACTCACAACCCCAAGATCAAGAGTCACATGCCCCACTGACTGAGCCAGATAGACATCTTTTTAAATATATACAGACATACATGGGAATAAAATATATCTCCCCTGAGGTGGAGCTCAGAAAGGAGGGAGGAGCAGATGGCGTGGAAGGCACTCTGTGGACTGGCAGGATTCATGTTGAAGCTTTGTCTTTGGGCAATTTATGGGTGCTCCAGAGACCTCTCTGGGAACTTTCAACCAAAGCTGCTCCCTCTGTCCCCAGCTTTAGCCCCAACTGCTGGCACAGGAAGCTGCACTCCTCTGCACCCAGAATGCCTTTCTCTGCACAGTCACCATCATCCCCATAGCCATCTGGCACCCCCTCCTGTCAAGCTGGCCACCTGGCTCACTACCCCCCACATCTTCTGCCCCCTGAGATTGGAGGGTTTACTTCACTCTTAGATCACAGGCAGCCAGCTCTCCCTGTGCAGACCTTCACCCAGGAGGGTGGCGGCTGCCCACTGTATCCCCTTTGCACTTCCAGTTTCTTGGGCACAGTCGGATTCTAACCTTCAGATCTTTCCAAATTTCTGGAAACAAAGTTTCCTGAGCCCCTCTCAAAGCCTGAGGAGGGAGGAAGCCCAGCTTACCACCACAGGCTTCTCCTCCTTGCCTCTGTCCTCTTGCACACCCCTGGTAGTGGGATGGGTGCTGGGGTGATGGCGCCCTCTTTGTTCCCCTCCTGTTCTGCCTGTTAAACCATCTGGGTCCTGCTTAGGAATGCTTGGTTTTCTTTTTATTTTATTTTATTTATTATTTGTGAGAGACACACAGAGAGAGAGGCAGAGACACAGGCAGAAGGAGAAGCAGGCTCCATGCAGGGAGCCCAACGTGGGACTCGATCCTGGTACTCCAGGATCACGCCCTGAGCCAAAGGCATATGCTCAACCACTGAACCACCCAGGCATCCCTAGGAATGCTTGGTTTTCAGTGCAAAAACTGAGACCTAAGACAGTGAGTCATTTTATTTATTTATTTTTTTAGATTTTGTTTATTTATTCATGAGAAACACAGAGAGAGCCAGAAACAGGCAGAAGGAGAAGCAGGCTCCCTGCAGGGAGCCCAATGCGGGACTCGATCCCAGGACCCGGGATTACATCAAGCCAAAGGCAGATGCTCAACCACTGAGCCACCCACGTGTGGCACATTGGATAGTTCTGCAAAATATGTTCCTATAAGCAAATTTGCTGGCTCTAAACAATTTACATTTTGATAATAACTAACCACTCCCCCCAATCAGTGTAGATTTCTATCAACCGTGTTTACATTCCCACCAGCAGAGTGTATTATAATTTTTAAAAATCATTAATTTGATAGATGAAAAAATATTATCTCATTGTTGCTATAACTTGCATTCCCTTTATTATCTGTGAGATGAGTGCATTTTCATAGCTTCATGAGCCATTTGTGAACCGCCTCCTTGTGTCCACACATTTCTCTTCTTCCAGTCCTCAGGAGCAGGGAGGTGAGTTTTCGGCATTCCTTATCTCACAATGACCAAAAATCAGTGATGGATACAAGGCCACTTCATTGTTTTGAGTTTATTTTTGTTCTCCTTTGTCTTCAATCCCCATTCCCATCCCACTTCAATATGAATGAATTGTGGGGAAATATCTAATATGATTTTTATGCGTTTGTGGGTTTAGCTTATATAAATGGTATTGTGCTATTGATCTCATTTTTGTTCCTTATTCTCTGAACACTATGTTTTTTAAAAAACTGTTGATTCTGGGATCCCTGGGTGGTGCAGCGGTTTGGCGCCTGCCTTTGGCCCAGGGCGCGATCCTGGAGACCCGGGATCGAATCCCACGTCGGGCTCCCGGTGCATGGAGCCTGCTTCTCCCTCTGCCTATGTCTCTGCCCCTCTCTCTCTCTCTGTGACTATCATAAATAAATAAAAAATTTAAAAAAAGTTTAAAAAAAAACTGTTGATTCTGACTGTTGCCTGGTGTTGCATAGTTTGCATCCATTACACATCACTAACCCATCCTCCTGAGGACGGATGCCAAAGTGGCCCCTGACTCTCGCTTCCACAAAGGACACTGCAGCCAGCACCCTTGTAAAGACCTCTTTGAACACTTGCACACGAGTTTCTTTCTTTCTTTTTTTTTTAAGATTTTATTTACTTTAGAGAGAGTGGGAGCACGAGTTTGGGAGAGGGGCAGAGGTAGAGGGAGAAGCAGACGCTGTGCCATACTGAGCAGGGAGCCTGACATGGGGCTCAATCCCAGGACCCTGGGATCACGACCTGAGCCGAAGGCAGACACTTAACCAACTGAGCCACCCAGGTGCTCCAGTGCACACAAATTTCTGTGGCTTATTTACCAAGGATTCAAAGTGTGCAGTCTCGGAAGAAATGTATGCCTCATTTCAGAATGTTCTCAAGAGACTGTACCAGCTTAAAGGCCTATAGAAGTCACCAAAGATTTCTGCCTCCTACACCCTCACCAAACATTGATATGATTTGCTTTATGAATTTTCACTCACCTGATGGTTATAAAATGGTATCTCATTGTAATTTTAATTGAATTGCACTGATTATTTCTCTGACCACATCGTCATTAATTTCTTGCCATTTTTAGCCAAATCTTCTGAGTTGCCTGTTTATATTCACTGTCCAATTCTCTATTGTGTTTCTTGTCTTTTCCTCATTGACCTGTAGAAGTTCTTTATTCACTAGATTGCAACCACCTGTCTGTCAATATTAGCTCTGAGAATCTTTGTGGAATAGAAATTCTTAATTTTGATGTAGTTGGATCCATGAATGTCTGAGTGGGGGGTTGTATTCTGGATGTCTTAAGATGTTCTTTCCCCATCCTTAGGTGGAGCATTCTTCTATATTTTATTCAATTAGGTTGTAGTTTAACATGTGCATTCAGGGCAAAATGCTCTATATCTTCCTTTTCTGATACTGTCTCTAGCCGGTTTGGGAGTCATATGAGGAACTATGCAGCGTTCTCTCAGTCCTTGCCTTTTGGTGTTTTCGTTTGTTTGTTTGTTTGTTTGTTTTGTTTTGTTTTTGTGATGCTGCTGCCGTGCTTCATACAGCTGATATGAGCAGTCCGTTTACTGCCTGGCTCAGTACCACAAACGCTGCCCATCCTGAGAAACCCTCCAGGAGGCCCGGGCCAGGGCTACCACCTGCATGCAGACCTAGATTTAGGAGCACACCAAAAGTGTAGAGGAAGAGGTTCTGAAGTGCTAGGGGCAGCCGCTGTCGCTTCATGAGCAGTTCTGTGTACATGGACGAGAGGCCTGAGATGAGGCAGTATAGGATGAAAAGCAGCAGTTCCAGTGGAGTGATATACAGGGGCATGGGGCCAGCAGCAACTGCTGACGGAGATCCAGGAGAGGTGTTCCCAGGGTCCTGGAGGCCACCAGCTGCATAACAGGCCCCTGCCACCATCAGCAGCAGCACTGCTAGGCCCTGAGGTGCTGGAGACAGAGGCAGTAGAAAAAGGCCATGCTTCCAATCTTGAGATTGCTCAGCACCTGGTAGGTGCTGGGGTCCATATAACGTTGAAGAGAGATCACTAGGTTGTTGTTAGCTCCATAGAATAGAGCTGATAGTGCAAATGGGGGAGCCTGGTGCCATGGTGTGGCCCCCTGGGGCCATGCCTGCCAGCCCACCAAGAGGGGGAAGGCACACAACAGTAGCTTGGTCAACTCAGTCAGCAGCACAGCTGAGGAGGGCTGGAAGGGCACTTTGCTGTTCACATGGCATAGTGCCAGCAATGGGGAATGGGCACCATACATAGCAGTGGATAAGAGTAGCATCAGGGTCCAGTAGGCCTGCCTGGGACGGCCCAGGCCTGGCATACCCCCGTCCTCTACACTCATGCCCAAACCAGACCTGGGTGGCCTGTATAGCTAGCAAGGGGGCAGTGGGAATTGTAACAAGTTTGAAGAAAATCAGTATGGAGCCAGCTCCCAGGAGGGAGGAGCTGTGGTACATTGCTAGAGAGTATACTGAGAATTAGAGTCAGCTGCAAACTCCATAGTCAGGGATGGAAGAGAAAGGGGCTGGTGGCTCTAGAAGCCACAGTTTCGGGGTCAGTCCCATGGGGTTAAGGAGGTGCATCCAAACTGCTGGCTGATAAGCCACCGTTTCCCCTCTGCAGGAAGGAAAGCAAGGATGAAGGCTGTGGGCAAGTTGGAGATAGCAAAAGGTGATAGGTCGGGAAGCCAAATATGGTGTCTGTGGTTGAAAGGCCTCTAACTGCAGGCCAGAGGTGCTCATCCTTTCTCCTCCATGGGATCCAGAGCTAGTCAGGCCCCTTTCTCAATGACTGAAGATAGTCCCTCAATGTCTTCGCTACATTCGGCCCAGCATATGCCTGAGCTGCATAGATGCCAGTGCAGGTACCCACAGCAAAGCCTAATACTGCCGATGCCCTCAGTTTGGCCACCACATAGCAGGCTAAGAAGCCCTTGAGGAATGGGGAGGACAAGAGCGAGCCCTCCTGGCTCACACCACTGCTGACTTCTTCCACACGCTGCTGCAGGCATTCCAGCTGGTTCTTGAGAAATACCAGGTCCTTAAGCTTGGGCAGAGAATCCTTGTCATCTGCCATCTTCCCCAGCAAACTTGTTGCCAGTCCTCGTCTTTTGGAACAACTCATACATGATAGGGACCATTTGTTCCTTGAAAGTCTGTGGAACATCCCTGTAAAAGTACCTCCATTTGCACTCTTTAGTATTGGAGTCTTAGATGATAATTTTCTCTACTGGTTACTGATCTACTGAAATTTTTGATATTTTTGTTCCAACTTTGACATTTCATATTTTCCTGGAAAGGCATTCACTTTAAGTTTTTATATTTACTAACGTCCAATTATTTGTAAAATTCTTTGACATTGTATTTTTTATTTTTTTAAGTTTTTATTTCATTTTTAAAATTTATTCATTTATTTAAGTAATCTCTATACCCAATGTGGGGCTCAAACTCACAACCCTGAGATCAAGAATCACAAGCTCTTCCAAGTGAGCCAGTCAGGCGCTCCCAATATTTGATATTTTAAACTTTTGTGGGACTCAGGAGTCAGATCATGCGGACTGTCCTATGAGAAGGACTCTACGTTTGTCTTAAACATGATGGAAAGTGTGACAGGATATTGGAAAAACCCATTTTGCCACTTTTGAGGAGGGCAAGAGCAGAGGGAGGAGGAGAGAAAGAATCCTAAGCAGGCTACACGCCCAGCACAGAGCCCTACATGGGGCTCAATCTCACAACTCTGAGATCATGACCTGAGCTGAAATCAAGAGTCAGATGTTTGACTGAGCCACCCTGGCGCCCCTTCATTTTGCCACTCTTGAAACCCCTGATGCACCTCAAGAGTATAAAGAAATAGGGATCCCTGGGTGGTGCAGCGGTTTGGCGCCTGCCTTTGGCCCAGGGCGCGATCCTGGAGACCCGGGATCGAATCCCACGTCGGGCTCCCGGTGCATGGAGCCTGCTTCTCCCTCTGCCTGTGTCTCTGCCTCTCTCTCTCTCTCTCTCTCTCTCTCTCTCTGTGTGTGTGTGTGTGTGTGTGTGACTATCATAAAATAAATTAAAAAAAATAAAAATAAAAGAGTATAAAGAAATAGAGTAGATCCTGAAAGGGAAACTTTGTGAGGAGATGGATTTAGAAAAGGAGCCCTAATACTGCCCTCAGGGAGTAGGACCAGGGACTGCCTGCTAGTCTCTAAGTCTGGGGAGAAGCACTTAAAGGAAGATGCCTGGAGAGCTCAGGTGGGCTCTCTGAAGCCATGGCAGTCCTGTAGGTCAGTGGTACATGAGACTTCCAGAATGGCTATGGAACCACAGTGGGAACTGGCCTGCGGCAAGGTAGCAGGAGGTCCTGTCCAGGTGGCTTCTGTTATCTGGCAGGGGGCACCCAATGAAGGTACGTGTGTGCCAAGCAAAAGAAAACTGGAGCCAGCCAAAAGAGAATCTCTGCCCACTTCCCAGGAGTTACAGTCAAGGAGGTAGCCCATAAAGGAGCTGTTAAGCCGCCACAGGGCAAGAACGCAATTTAAACACCTGCTACTCATAGAGTGACTGGCCATCTTATCCAGAGCCAATCAAGGAAGAACTCTCTGCACCCCCTACCCTCCTTCCTCCCTGTGCTCCAACAGCAGCAAGTTCTTAAACTGGGAGAGCAGGAGGGAAGGGAGGGAGACCTGACTTCCCTCTTCCTCATCAGCAGGGACCACATGGCTGGGGAAGTGGAAACTATCTCATCAAGTGTAGAGATTTGGCTACCATGCAAAACGGGCGGTCTAACAACTTATTTAGTGACTTCAGGTGATCATAGGACTGTAAGAAAACATGGCACAGAAAGTCATAACTTCATTTGTGGGAACAGGGAGAAATTCTCTTATGCATTTTAGAGGAACATTGGGAGACAAAAATAATCTTTAATTATATCCCATAAACCTTGTTTGGAGAAAGTAGCCTTCAAGCAAAGGATTTTGAAAGGGCGAGTGATGTGAGCTGATTTATGTTTGTATGTATGTATGTATGTATGTATTTATTTATATTAATTTATTTGAGAGAAAAAGCAAGGAGAGTGGCAGAGGGAGATGGAGAAGCAGACTCCCTGCTGAGCAGGGAGCCCAATGCAGAGCTCCATCCCAAGACCCCAGGATGGATCATGACCTGAGCCAAAGGCAGATGCTCAACCACTGAGCCACCCAGGCACCCCTGATTTATGTTTTTTTTAATTTTTTTTATTTATGTTTTTAAAAGGTCCTTCTGACTACTAGAGATTAGACAGGAGAGCCAGGGTGGAATGAGGGACTGTCATCTGGGAAAGACACTGGAAGGCTTGGGCCAGGAGAGGCAGAGAGAGGAGAGAAGAGGAGAGGTCTAGATATTAGAGCGGGGCCTGCCACCCTTCAGAGATCAGGAGAGGCCAGAGAGATGGGGCCATGGACACCAGAGAGCAGCCAGTGGGGAAGAATTGGAGAGAGTAAAGGCTCCCAGCCAAGCAAAGAAAGTGTTTCAAAGAGGGGGGAGTGACCAACTGTGACCAGAGCCACTGAAAGTTCAAGGCAAGACTAACAGCATTAACAACTACACTTGGCAACCTTACTTGTTTCCTAGGCCCATGTTCTGAGGACCAGATCCAGGAGGCTCACTACAGGCTTTGGCTGTTGGAATGTGGCTGGGGATGGCCTCTACCATACCACCCTCTACCTCCTCATGGAGCCCCCTCTGAAACTTTTCCTTTAGGATACATGTTCTTTCCCCTGAAGAACTTGCAGGCGCTATATGCTCCTTGGGTAGAGGGAAGAAGCTAACTCACTACATCTCCCTTTTTGTTTTGGCTGCTTTGGCTGCCAGGAAGCTCAGAGAAGAACATGATATTCAGTTAATAGATCTGAGAGCACATTATGGGCTTCATATTTATTTATTTATGTTCTTGAACCTGATCTTCACATCCTCTTTTAAATTATATCTTTATGTTTTTGATCTTCTACTTCTATTTTTATTTTATCTTCCTACTTCTTGTTGGAAACTACCTCATGTGCCTTGAGCATGAGGCAGGTATGCAAATTATTTCCATTCATTCAGCAAATGTACAGAGATGCCTTTTATATGTCAGGTCCTTTTGATTTGCGATTGACAGGACTATATTAAGCCAAAAAATGGTAAAATAAATGACTAACTCATGAAAAGGGCAAAGGTGTACCTGAGCCCAATTTTGCCTGGATGGCAGGACTCGGGGCCCCTTGCCTCCGTGTGTATAGGTGTGTGTGTAGGTGTGTGTGTGTGCGCGTGTGTATGTTACTCTCCTCTTCATTTCATCTCCATTTCCCTCTCTCTGTCACCTTCATTCTCTCTGATGGGAATGTTGGCTGCAGGGAGCACCACATTGCTATCCTTGGACCTTTGCCACCAGTGTGAAAAGAAAACTCTTCCCAGGTTGAAAAATCCTAGGGAAGGACTCTGACATGCCCTGCCTCAAGTCTTGTGGCCATCCCTGCACCAATCACAGGAACCCAGTGGGAAGGGAATGTGGACCAGCATTTCTGGCACTACCACCTTGTTGGAGTGGGAGGAGCAGTACTCTAAAGGTGGGGATGTGATTTGAGGTGTCCTGAAGGAAGATGGCCAGGGCAGACCAAACACCCACCACAGGCTTACCATGTGCCAAGTAACCAGGAGACACCGTGGAGATGCAGATGTGAATAAAACAAGCCCTCTGACCCTGAGATGGCCATAGTCCAACAGAGGGAGGTAAAACATGCAATGACGATTATGATAAAATCAGAACATGGGAAGAATCTCAGAAGAGCAATAGGCAAAGGATTTGGGGTATTCCAAGGAGGATAGAGGAACTTCTGATTCTGACCATGAGAAAGTAAGTTTTACCAAATTGATCCTTTTGCCACAAACAACTGAGAAACTGGACAAAGCGTTAGGAAAACTACTTCTAGATTTTAGAAAACTGACTGCACAGGACCGTAATCCATGAGAAAAGGGAAGCAGGTGAGGTAAGCCCTACCATCATTCAGGTCATCTACATCTGCCACCTGCCCAGAGGTAAATGCCCTACTACATGCAAGGAGGGGAATCCAAACAGGGTCCATCAGTCTCACTGATTAAGGAGTCAGAGATCAGAGTTTGGACAGGCAAAAGACAGGTAGAATTTGTGAGGTAGAACATTTAAGAACCTATGTAGAAAAAGAGCTCCAGGGATCCCTGGGTGGCGCAGCGGTTTAGCGCCTGCCTTTGGCCCAGGGCGCGATCCTGGAGAACTGGGATTGAATCCCACGTTGGGCTCCCGGTGCATGGAGCCTGCTTCTCCCTCTGCCTGTGTCTCTGCTTCTCTCTCTCTCTCTGTGACTAT